GTCACCACATGTGCAAAGATTTTTTTTTATTTTGTTTTATATATTCTGTTTTGTTTTTCTTTGCTCTTTTTTGTAATTTTTATATTCTATTAATTTACCACATTCAATAGAATATTTTTTTAGAAAAGAATTCAAATATAGACTGAACACCTAAATTTCAACACATTCTTTCCATTTTTGTGTTTCTATACAATTTCAAAATACATGTCTAAACTTAATTATGAATTTATAGAACCATGTGCTTAAGAGGTAATTGAGAACACATTAAACCAATTAGGAAAATGTCATCACAATTTAGACTTGTGTTAATTCTGAGTATATGAACAATTTTATTCTGGTTTACCAATCTCAACTTGTACATCAAGGAAGTACTGCTTTTTTATTATAAGTACTTCATTTAAGAAGAACTACAAAAGTATAGTGACATCAAATAAAAACTTTTCACATTTTTATTGTTGCTTTTGTATGGCTTTGTGAAAGACACGAAGTATACTATTCTAGTTGTGATACAAATATTAGTTTTATTTGATCTGTTTTACTATTTCCAAGGGATGCTGGGGATATGCACATATAAAATCATACAGGGTGTTACAAAATCCAAATTATTAAATTCTAATGGCAAGTAGTGTAAGTAGGATATATAGAGCAAATAGAGTTTTATTAGTATTTGGTTTTCTTTTATTAGATATATTATTAAAATTAAAATTATGGGAAAATAATGTTTTCCCATAATTCTATATATTTAGTTTCTTCATTTTTTTTATAGATTAGAAATATCATGGGTATAATTCATGTAAAATTTCATTGATTCCTGTGCTTTATTTTTCTGAAGAGCTAGGAAAAAAACAAAGTGCTTACTATTCTCTACTAACACACGCAATATTTCACCCTGCTCACAAAAATATATGTGCCAGCCAGTTTTTCTATGCCAGCCATCAGTCCTTCCAGGGACATCCACAAAGAAACCTGTAATTCACTTCAATTCTGACTCCATGCAGCTGGAGATAGTGTCAAATCCCACAGCAGGAAGGTTCAATCCCAGGAAACTGCTACTCTGTCTTAGGCCAATTACACGTAGCAGACTGTAAACCATCCTTCTGATCAACACACTATGAACCAGTATTGCCATGACTCCCTCCCTGGGCTCAATTAATTTGCTGGAGTGCCTCTGAGAAGCATTCTACTTCTCTCTTTGTTACAAAGGGGCAAAGAGTATAGAGGAGCAATTAAATGAAGAGATGCACAGGGGAATGGTTAGAGGATAAAAGCAAACCAGAGCCCCTCAATCTGGGGGAAAAACTTCCCTGTTTGTACATATGTGTGTGTGTGTGTGTGTGTACATATATACATATGTATATATATAATTTATTGATTTTATATCTCTATATATAATTTAGTGATTGTCCTACAATTTCATACATGTTCCTAACATAACCTATCATACTACCATCCACTCCCTATTTTTATCTCTCTGCCATTTCTACTAACTCTCCTTCATTTCTTACCAATCCCCTTTCCAGATTCATAACTTTCATTTTGTGATGCATTCAATTTGACCTGGGCTATGTGTGTAAGACTGGATTGGAACTATCCTTTGCACCCTGGTAGTGTCATCAGTCAGAGCTCAACTAAAGGCAATGACTACTTTCTCTCTGAAACTAACATGCAACAAATTGTTCAGCATTGAGGTGTAAGGAACATCAGAGCACTTCTTCAGTACTCCATTTGTGCCCCATTCCTGTGTAGACCCCGTGCAGGTGTCTGCGCTGCTGTGTGCCTGTGACTGTGATGGCTATGTCTTCCCCAGAATATGCCATTTTACAGTCCTTCTCCCCATTTTCAGTCTCTTACTTTTTTTTTCCTGTCCATTCTTTTGTAATGTTATCTGAGGTTTTCTGTGGGACCTAAGACTCATCCATCACTTATTATGGGGCATCTTAAGAAGTCTCTGCCTCCACTATCATTCACTGGGGAAAAAAAATATTTTCTGATTTAGGGTGAGAGAAGCATCTCTCTAAGGATAAAAATATAAACATTTAGAAGACAAATTGATGGTAACTCAATTTAATTAAGTGACAGTACTCAGTTACCTTGTAGAGTAGTGGTTCTCAAACTGTGGGTCATGACAATTTGGAGGTCACATATCGGATATACTTCATATTAAATCTTTACATTATAATTCATAACAGTAACAAAATTACAGTTAGATGTACCAACAAAATAATCTTATGGTTGAGGGTTACTGCAACCATAGGAATTACGTTAAAGGGTCTCAGCATTAGCAAGGATGAGAATCATTGTTCTACATCCACATGAGGTTTGACCATATTGACATGATAAGGCATGGATTCCTCCCTATGCAGCATTCCTCAGTATCACCCAAACAGCAATTTCAGTTTCAAAGCAGTTTTACCACAACTCATTTTCAGCTTGATATCTCCACAGCATGTAAGGAAGGTATGTGTGGTGGGTTCATCAAATGGTTTTAGCTGGTGGACCACCAAGTGAATGAATGCCAGATGCCTCCATTATTTGGGGAGATCTCTGGAGGATACCTGACTGACAACTCATTCAGGTGTGTCTTGCTTATGGCAGCAGGGTTTTTGTTTGCTATCTCTTGGCTTCTAAGAGCAGTTTTTCCACCAATCAGTTTTCCACAAGATACCAGTTCTTTGAGTTTTCATGGAGGTTATGTATTATAAGCCTGAATGATCACATCATTGGACATTGGTTACCAACTCAACTTTTAACCGCCGTCTCCTCATGGAAGGTGAGAAGATAGAAAGTCTCCACTCTGTAAGAAAGCAGCCCTCTTCTGAAGTTCTCCAGGAACCCTTGGAGAGTATGTGTTTATAGCATGTCATAGGTGAGCTTGATTTAAACAAAAGACATTTTTATTACACAAATAGTTGCAATAAATTTAGGAACATTACTAAAACTTCTTTCAAAGACTACTTCAGCAGTACTTCTAACTAAAAGGCCTTCAAAAGGACAATCTCAGGGACTTGGGCAGAAATAAATACATGTATTTCATATTTATCAATTCTGAAAACATTGCAAAGTACCTGTTATTTCATATAGAGTACATCTCACAGTCATAGATATCAGTGATGAAGAACTGTCATAGTGTCCAACTATATTCTATAAAGATTAAAAATATATGAAAGTTATATATGTATAATATTTACATATGCTTTATGTATGTGATATCTGTGTGTGTCTCCCACAGTAATGTGTTAGGAGCAATGTTCAAGACTTACTTCCTTTCTACCATGCTTCCCAGGCATGAAATTCATACTGTCAGGGTTGAATAGCAAGTGTTCTATGTGCTAAGACATCTCCCTGGTCCTCTCAATCAATTTTGTTAAAGAAATACTTCTAGGCAAATTCTTCTTTTTTTTAGTGTATCATTAGCTTTTATTAAAATAAACACATTGTTATGATTGTTTGGTACATGTATCTTCAACTTATTTATATTTTATTTTATAATTGGCTTTATTTAGAAATATTCCTAAGCAAGAAAGATGAGTGAGTGGTTAAGAAAAGCTGCTACTTTACTAGAAGACTGGAGTTTGGTTTCTAGCACCCACATCTATCTAGCATCTCACAGCTATCTGCCTAGAACATCAGCTCCTGGAGATCTGAGGCCTTCTTCTCACTCCTGGGAACCCCCACACACATGGCATGAGAGTCGAAACAGTGGCAAACATAAGAGGGTGAAGGGTAGCTTCAATACACATCATGCCAGAGTGGTGAGCCAGTGTTATAAAAATATCATTTCAAGTAAATCTGAGGAAAAATCATTACTTTTTAAAAATATTTATTTGTTACCATTTATTCACTTTGTATCCCAGCTCTAGGCCCCTTCCTCATCTCTTCCCAGTGCCACCCACCCTCCTTCTTCTCCCCCTATACCCTCCCTAGTCTACTGGTAGGGGAGGTCCTCCTCCCTTCGACCTGACTCTAGCCTATCTTGTCTCATCAGAACTGGTTGCATTGTCTTCCCCAGTGGCCTGGCAAGGCTGCATTCTCCCCTCCCCAGAGGGAGGTGATCAAAGAGCCAGCCACATAGTTCATGTCAGAGACAGCCCCTGCCCGCCCCCCTTATTAGAGAACACACTTGGAAACTGAGTAGCCTATGGGCTTCCTCTGAACAGGGGGCTTATTTCCTCTCCATGCATGGTCCTTGGAGAATAGGTCTCTGCAGGCCCCACTGGGCCCAGGTTTTTTGACTCTGTAGGTTTCCTTATGGGGTTCCTGTCCTCTCCAGGTCTTTCTATCTCTCTCTTTTTCCATAAAGTTTCCTACACTCTGCCCAAAGTTTGGCTATGAGTCTCAGTATCTCTTTCCATACCTTGTTAGGTAGAGTCTTTCAGATGCCCCCTGTGGAAGGTTCCTGTCCTGTCCCTTGTCTTCTACTTCCAATGTCTATCCTGTTTGCCTTTCTGATTGAGGTTTCATCCTCTTTTCTAGGGTCCTCCTTGCTGTTTAGCTTCTTCAGGACTATAGATTTTAGTATGTTTTTCCTATATTATATGGATAATATCCACTTATAAGTGAGTATATACCACATGTGTCTTTCTGCTTCTGGGTCACCTCACTCGGGATGATCTTTTCTAGTTCCCACCATTTGCCTGAATATTTCATGATTTCCTTATTTCTAATTGCTGAGTAGCATTATTTCAATAGCACAAAGAAAATATCTCATTGTGTGATACTTGTCTTTAGCAGCAGCTGGACTCTGAACTGACATGAGCAGATCACAGAAGTGACAGCTACACAGCCTCAATAAATTGATTCCTTAACACATGTCTTATTAGTTAAGTTGAACAAAATTAAATTATATTTATCTTTCCTCTAATTCTTCTGATTTCTGTTTAGTGTACAGAAAACCCAGCACATAGGTATGAAAAGGTGTCTATCTAAATTGTTTTATTTCATGCACAGAACAGTCAACGTTTCTTACTCTTTCTTTCTACATGCATGCTTGTATCCAATAGGCCAGAACCTGTTTTGTGGACAAAGGATGGTGCAGAATTGCCAGATCCTGATCGAATGGTCGTGAGTGGTAGGGAACTCAACATTCTTTTCCTGAACAAAACGGACAATGGCACATATCGATGCGAAGCCACTAACACCATTGGCCAAAGCAGCGCAGAGTATGTTCTCATTGTACATGGTAAGTCCTTTTGGGAAACATTACAAGTGAGAGGGAAAAAATGGTTGAGAACTGTTAAAATCTTTAAAAATTGTTAGAAAACTGAGTTAAATAGGTATTGTATTTGTTTCAGAAGGACTTCTCATGAGTACATGTATCCACAAGATACAAAATATGTTTCAGGTTTGACTAATAAGAAAAATTTGAAGCATATATAAAATAATTTTGAGAAAAGACTATATAAGTAATTTAAATTGATATTTGTTAGTGACTGATAAATTATATTAGTGGTTATCTTTAAATTTACTATATATGACTATTAGTTATAATCCAGAGCACCGGAAAGCATTTATCTTAAGCTAACTTTATTGTACTATTATCAAAGTGTGCTTTCTAAATACCGAATTGAGCCATACAAAAGATAATAATGGAATTGAAATTTAGTAAGGACAAAAGTTTGTAATAGCAATGATGAATTTCCTATGAGTAATAATTTGAAATTACTTTTTCCTGACTGTGCTGAATAAAAGTTGGTTTGAACACAAAAAGTGCAGAAACAGATATGAGTAAAGAAAATGACTTTTTTACTCAAATTCCAAACACCATGGTTTCTTCATCAGGTACCTTTAATGTATGACTAAAAGGGGAAGCTTTCTTATAACATGTAAAAGACACTGTAATAAATCCAGGTAGCTTTCTTAATAGACAAGCCTCTGGCCATTTCTCATGTATGCCAGAATGTGTCATCAATCTCCAGGGGAAAGAATTAGCAGCAGATGGAATGTTCCTTCATATATTTCAACAAGAATTTTTTTCTGATTATTTTATTTTATCCATTAAATTAGTACAAAAGTGAGCTACTATTATATAAAACAAAATACAGTAACAAATTTAATGGACTTCAAGATTCATGGGAAATTTGTTTACAGTCTTTCATCTAAATCTAAATATAAAATACTGCTAGAAACATGGATGAGGCATATATCTTTCAATAAAAAAATAAAACAAAATATTTGCTTAACTCTAATTCTTTGAAAGACATTTAACTTTCTGGAAAAAAAAACTTGTTCGTGTTATATTTCCAGATATTCTTTTGTTGTAATACAATAAAGAATCATGAAAATATTAGAGTTTATAGTTCTCCTATTTCCCAAATTGTTGACAAAATCTCTCTTCTTAACTTTACCTTGCTATAATAAAACATTGAAGATATGTAATGAACAGACTTTTCTCAAATAAGCATCCTGGAAATGATAGAGTTCTGTGTTCTATATTTAATATATTGAGAACAGTAAAATAAAAATCAACCTCGAGAAGGATCCCTGGTCTAACAGGAATAATTAAGCTGAAATTACATGTGGTGAATTTATGTGAGGTTAAAAGTCCGCCTTCATTACCAGACAGAATGTAAGCACTACGGCTTTAGTTGCAAAAAATTCCTCAGAACTTAAGATCAGGATCCCAGAGGACTTATGTGTGTACAACATGTGTCCACGCCTTAAGTGTCTAGTATAGCCGATTCATGTTAAGTTTTGTAAGTGATTCTCTCGAAGAAGTGAGCCTCCTGCCTGCATGTTGCCTGGCGTGGCACAGTTTGTCCCCAGCAATTCACCTTAAAACTGTGGAGAACTGTGAAAGAAGTGACTAAAGAAAATAATATACCCAAAAGAAATCATGTCACATGTTTCTTTAAATCAATTCAAGCGGGGGGAAATTCATGTCTCCGTGTTTGCAAGCTGGCAGCAGCATGATTTTGCCAAGAGCCAGGGTATCTTTAGGTTGTTGGCAGTTGGCACATTTCTAATAAATCCTTTCCTAAGCACTTTTTAAGAATTCATTTGGGGCTTTGCTTTTGAACTCCAATTCATCAAAAGCACCCCATAGATTAATGCTATTCATGCTGCTAGATAAATGCTGCGAAGCTCAACAGCACTTTACCTAGTGTTATTGACACAGGTAATGAAAGGCTCGGTGAAACAGTGAACCATATTGCACTGTGTTTAAAAGAGGTTCCAATTGGGTTCATTACAAAATAAAGGGTATTTTTTCCCCTTTGCACACTGGATATAATGTTTCATTAGTCACTGGTTGTAGACTTGTAGAAGTGACACTCTTATGTTAATAGTTTGGCTGTTTCAAAATCCTAGTAAATGATGAAATTTGAGTGGCATTTTGATCTATAATGAGTGCTTCATGTGATCATCTATGATAACTTTACCTATTATATTTTACACTAAGGTCTATTTTTTTCATCAGCTGTGATGATTTAACATAGTCCTAGTATGGAAGGGGTTTTGTTTTCTTTGTTTTGTTTTGTTTTCTGAATCAGGATTCATGTCTGACTCTACCCACAGTCCACTGATAGAGGAGGTCCTCCTCCCCTTCTATCTCACCCTAGCCTATCAGGTCTCATCAGGACTGGCTGTATTGTCTTCCTCTGTCCCCTGGTAAAGCTGCACCCCCCATCAGGGAGAGGTAATCAAGGAGACAGACACTGAGTTCATGTTAGAGACAGTCCCTTTTCCCATTACTAGAGACCCTGGTTAGAGACTAAATTGCCATGGGCTACATCTGTGCAGGGGTTATAGGTTATCTCCATGCATGGTCCTTGTTTAGAGTACCAGTGTCAGAAAAGACCCCTGGGCCTAGATTATTTTGGTTCTGTTGCTCTCCTTGTGGATCTCCAGTCCCATTCAGGTCTTTCTATCTCCCCCTTCTTTCATAAGATTCCCTGCACTCAGCCCAAAGTTTGGTTATAAGTCTCAGCATCTGCTTCTTACCCTTCAGGGCATAGTCTTCATTTGCTTATTCAAATTTGCCTTTCATTTCACCACAGCAACATTTACATGTGAGTTAAATTTCTTTTACTGTTGTTTACTTTATTCTACTGTGTCCTTATTTTCTTCTACAAATGAGATTTTAAAGATTTAATAATCTCTCTATTATCTTAATTTACACTGTACTGTTTTGAATGAAATTATAAACTATATACTTTTCTGTTTTAACTTTATACAAATACATATTTTTTCTAATAATTTTAATCTCTACATCCACATATAATGATTATTTTGATAGCACAGATTCAAATAGAACTGCTATTTGCTTCTATTTTTATTCTCCCAATCAAGGTATCACAGTTGGTGATTTAATAGCTCTAAAATATCACGATGAATTTTTAGTTTATTTGTTTCTGTATTTATTGAAATAAGTACTGATAAAATGCTATTGTCACTGTTTGCAAGATATTTACTTTAATAATCATATATTTAAGTAACTTGCATATGTATAATATGTGATCAGTCACATTTTATTATTAGTTTGTAAGAGCCATTAATTTCAAAGGGCATATTTAGCAGAGTGTTTCTGACCTCTGTGAGTTCAAGACCAGTCTGGTTTATAAGTAAGTCCTTTTCACCCCCCCAAAAAAACGTATTTTACAAACTTAAAAGTAAAAGAATATTTCTGTTTTACAGTCTATATGTTTTAGTTTAATGAACACTATTAAGCATACCTTTCCAGTTTCAAAAATCAATTACAATTGCTATTTTACTCAATATTTATTGTTAATAATAAATATAACAACATTTTAACACAAATAGATATTACAGAACATCTGTATTACAGAACAGCAAGCCTAACCTCTGCTCTCTGTGGCTTAATGTACCTCTTCAGATTTCAGGGGAGACAGAGCCTTTCTACCTGGGGGCTCAATACCCAAAGCAAATGACTTGCTCACTGTCTTAAAAAGCAAATAAAAGTGAGGAAAAATTGTTTTCAAGAAACATTTCTAGTGTATCACTACTTTCAAATATTTGCCTAATGTACAGGAAATAAATACAGTTTATTATTTTTTATGATAAATTTAACAAAATAACAGATATAATTGCATGATATAATTTATTTTCAAACAGAATGATCATAATAATTTTATATCTTAGAAATTCTTATTTAACACTTAGCATAGATCTAAACAACATTATTATGATATGCTTATACCCACTATGGGAGTATAAATTTTACAAGTCATATCAAGGATAGCAGTGATTACTAAGTAAGTTTGTGATCTTAGCACAATAAAATGAAAAGAGTACTTCTAGTCATCATAGAAGTTAAGCAAAAGGTTAATAATATTTTTGACACATAGTTACAATTACCAGAAAGAAAATATTTAGAGGGATTAGAATTTTATATGTGTGTGTGTGTGTGTGTGTGTGTGTGTGTGTGTGTGTGTGTTTGTGTGGGTGAATTTACTTCCCCAGTCACATTTCTAGATAAGAGGATTCTAATACATGAAGATGATGGCACCTAGAGAGAGAAATTTGTGTTGAGTATGAAAGAAAAGACTGGGTTGTGAACAGATGTAGAGCCTAGAAAACATTAAAGAATGATTCAACTAAAACATGTTCTCTCAGAGACAGACAGACCTTACCAGCTGGTAAATTAATTATGTGTGCTAATAATGAGCATTTTTCCTGGAAAAGCTTTCTTTGGAAATATAAATGGAAAATACATGGTGTAGAATAAAAAGGATAGAAAAGACATCCCTCTGCAACAACAAACATTGTGCTCATAATAAAAAGTTCTGTAGTTGCTGCTCTCGGCAATACTGGCTGAGATCTGCCTACACAGTCACTGGTTGGATGATTCTTTAATCTTTGAGGTAACACATCACTTCCAGACATGTAAAAGAAGAAAGATTTCTGATGCTTGCAGGAAACACATGCCTCTGGCTGTTTAAATATGCTGCCAAACTCTGCAGAGACAACTGGAGAGGACAGTACTGTGTTTGTTTAAAAACATTTCAAAGTGTGTGTTGGTGTGTGTGCTTTGGATAGATCGCTCAACAAAAGTGAACCAAATTCCATCTTTTTAAGATGAAAACGCAGTGGATAAATTGAGTTTTCAGTTGTCATAGTACAAAATCCATGCATATACATCACACTAATGTAAATGTTCTTCCAGATCGAGATGGATAACTGCACAAATGTCAAAGAAAAAGAAATCTTTATTCACAATCTATC